CAACAACGGATATAATCCGCCTTATCGGTTCATCGCATCGGAAACAAAAAAGCGAAAGAATTTGGAACGATGTTTTTACAATTATTTTATTCAGTCTGTTGCGTGACTCAAACGAAATAAAAAATAGCACATGTTTATGCGGATCGGTTTCCCAATCGACTGCAACCAACCCCTCGTGCCTTTGTTAATGTAGTACAACGAGCTCGTGAATCAGGTGACTTAAGACCTCACAGGGGACGGCATGACGGTGCTCCAAGACCTCACGATCAAATACAGGTCCGCACTGTAATACTTGTCGGGAGGATACTTTATAAAACAAGGTAAACTTTTTTTTTTATTTTTACACACATATTTTGGTTTATCTTCCTTCTACAATCATTATCTGAAAATTAATGACTCAACTTCAAAGTCACCCTGTATACTATACTACTATACTATACTATAGGTAAAGTGGAGGTCAACTATGTGCTGCTAGGAAAAACACTATGAATCTTAAAGGATTAGTGATTAGAATAACTATCAAGGTCCGCTCTTTAGGTTCAAACTTGAACTTCACCTTCAAGGTCATTTAAAGCACAACTTTTTTTTCTAATAGAAACCCGTGTTTTTGATACCGACAATAGAAAGACCGGGAAATCTTACATTCGAATATGTATTGAAATTCGAAATCAAGATGACCGCTGGAGGTCAAATAGGTTAAATAAACGTGAACTATGGATACGATACGAAAACCTCTAGAAATCCCGAAGATATCGTGACGAAAACAACTGGTAAGGTCAGGTCTTTAGTAAATTTTCAAAAGTAGCTATATCTTGGATTTGACTTTGAACCTCACCTTCAAGGTCATTTCAGGATCATCTTTATTTTTCCAAATAGAAACATCTATTTGGTACTAACAATCGAAAGAACCGGAAATATATGTTCAGATGTGTATTAGAATTCAAGGTCAAGGTGACCACACTGAAGGTCACATAAAGACCGAATGTGTGCTGCTAGGAAACCTTCCCACACGAATAGTGACGAAAATAACTTGCAAGGTCAGATATCTGCGTAAGGTTTAACAAGGGAACTACGGTACTCATTACAAATGATTTTTAACCGATACTGTTCCTGCGGGTTTCTATTTGAAAAAGCTTGACTTTGAAGGTGAAGTTCAAGGACAAATCCTCGACACAAATTACTACAGAACTGACCTTGATAGTTATTCTCATCAGTAATCCTGTAATATTTATACGAGCCCCTTCCCACTTCAGTTGGCCCAACTATTGAAATCTTAGTTTTTTTCTTATCAAACACAAATAATAAAAATCTAGCAGGGTCTTATAGGTTTAAAATATTAACAATGAATATTTTGATAATATATAGTAGAAAACACCAACTTTATCACCCCCTAATCAAATTTGCAGCATAAAAATAACACATGTTGCAATTACACCATATCAACCTATTTTCATTTCAATGCAAAATAAGTCTATAATTGTTTTTATTAATACGTTTAAAATAGTTTTGGGTACTTAAGGTTTTCAAAATGGGTAGAGGAAAGGTTATTAGTGAGAAAATTCGGTAACTGATAATTAAATTTTTTAATTCTGTTAAATCAAACTCAGAAATTGCAACTTTGTTAGACTTATCGCGGTACAGTGTGAGAAATATTGTTAGAAGATATAACGTAACTGGTTCAGTTAATATTAAGCTACGATATGTGAAAAAAAGTAATATCACAAATGCCGACCGAAGAGCATTAAGAAGATGAATCGTGAAAGACAGGCGTGCCAATTATTTACAATTAAGTGCTCTGTGGAGTAACGCTGTTGGAAGGAGAATTTCGAGGTCCACAACTCATAGAGAGGCCCACAAACTGGGATTTCGCACTTGCAAGGTAAGTTGTCTTATAAAAAAGAGTGAAGTAAAAACCTTAAAGTTGCACAACTTGTTTATAGGCCAAAGAAAATCCACTATTAACTCTACTGCAAAAGACAAATCCGCTTAGATGGGCTAAAGAACCTAGACAATGGACACCTCAACAATGGTGTGCAATAAAATGGAGTGATGAGGCCCGATTCGAAGTTTGTGTTGGTGACAGTCGCAGTAGAGTTATTCGCAAAAAAAAATGAAGCATTCCATGTTGACTGTCTGAAGAGAAAAGTGAAATTTCCAGCATCCATTATGGTCTGGGGCTGAAGTGAGAAGGGGCTCGTAGAGGTTATCCTAGCAGCCCACATTTGATCTTCATTTGACCTTTAGTAGTTATCCTGATCTTGGTCTTTAATTGTTGTTTGAACGTAAAATTTTCTGTTCTTTGGATTTCCGGCATCAGAAATAGCAGTTTCTATTTGGAAAAATAAAGTTGACAATGAATTAACCTCAATGGTCAAGCTCAAGTGCAAGGTCACCGTTTAATTCCTTGTTAAAAGCTACTGAAGACCTGACCTTAATCTTTTCCAAAAATACTTTAACCAAGAAAATACATAGCCGTTTTAGGACTTTTGTGTCGGGCTTTACAGGGTATTCCATTTAAATAAAAAAATAGAACTTAATTCAATAGTACTGTTCTGAGACGGTACAATACCACATTACTTGAAAAACTTCATATTAAACCCTTTAGCTTTTATATACGTTTTCTTCTGTAAAGTCACACAAAAAGGTTAAAGGGGGTCAGTTTATAGCCGGATATCCGGTACGTGTCACATAACATCCACAAACAACATACAATCTCATTTTAAAAAGTGACGCTAGCAAGTAAATGTTAAATATGTGCAATGCACCGTTGACCAAAAATGGATAATCATTACAGACTCAATTAGCTCAATATACTCCATCAATAAGTTATATACAAAAAATCCGATAGCCAAGATAATACAAGAAACAATTACTCAACTCACCAACAATAACCAGATTATAGTACTTATGTGCGCTCCATCGCACAAAGGAATAGCAGGGAATGAAACAGCAGATACAAACGCTAAAAGAGCGGCAACGAAAAACAGCATCTTCAACCTCCTAGTTCCAGCATCAGATATGCAGGTATATGTAAAAGGCAAAACAATAGACCAGTGGAATAGTGTGTGGAAGAACAACCCTTCCAAACTACAAGAAGTGAAACCCAAGCTCAATGAATTGCAAACAGTAACAGAAAAAAGGAGACTGCAAGTGATAATAACCCGCCTCCGACTGGGCCCCACAAGAATCACCCACAGCTACCTCATCACCCGTGATCCTGAACCAATGTGTTTTATGTGCGAAAGCGTTTTATCGGTAAAAGACATTTTAGTGGAGTGCCCAATGTTCGAACAAAAAAGACATCAGTTTAATCTCTGTGGTAAAACTCTAAAAGACATAATTGGAGCCACCTGCAATGTCCGAAATCTAATGTTGTTCTTGAGCCATTGTAATTTAATACATAAAATTTGATTCATGTACACATTAAATCCGCTGCTAATAGCTAATTAGCTGATGCAGCTTATGTAAATAAAAAAAAGTAAATGTTAAATTATGGAATATTTCTTTTAGAAGTTTATTGAAAATATATGTGAAATTATTCCTTCAAGTACATCTACAATTTTAGTCATTCTTCATTGCCCGTATAACCAAGCGTTATCAGCCGACCCCGACAATGGAAACAAACCAAGCTCCCAGCATGAGCGGAAGGTCCGGCCGCCGAGTTGTGGGTAAGAATTTAATCAACAGTGTGTGTGTAAGAGAGAGACGCAGCTAGAGATACTTTAATGGGATTTAAGAGTTAATTATAATTAAGTCGATTACATCAGAAACGTTTTAATAAAAATAAACGTGAGAATCATCCTGCGCAGTGTCCAGTGTGTTGTTATTTTTATTACCATGTATAGTGGTAGCAAGTGTTTTCAGAGTCTGATGGTTCCCATAAGAAAACAATTATTAACATTTGTGTGTGTACTATTCAGTAAAGTAAATATATTTCAATTAAAGAAATTTACAGTGACTACAAGGTGGAGATACTTTGCTTATAAAAAGTGTGGCACGCTGAGAAGCTTAGGATTGTGAAACCGCTTAGATACGGGGATGTCTTTTAAGTTTTGCATATAGAAACATAGTAGGATCGAACCTCAGTACTGAATCTTAACGTCATTCTTTAGTAAACTTAAATTCAAAGTTTCACAACAATACGTGCAGTATTCTCACTACAGTGAATTTTTAAGTGTCACCGAGTCATTAGAAAAATGGAACTCAACCGAGAACATTTATTACAACTTTCAGAGAAAATTATCGCAACAAGAATGTCTTGCTGAGTTACTGTCTGTTTTCGGTAACGAAGCGCCATATCAGTCGACAATTTTCCGTTGGTATGAAGAATTCAAACGTGGACGGGTGAGTCTTAGCGACGATTCCAGGGTGGGTGCACCAAAAACGGCAGTCACTCAGGAAAACGTCGATGCTGTGCGCAAACTCATCATTGAAGATAGACATGTGACATGTCGCGAGATTGAGGCGTCCTTGAAGATCTCAAAGATCACAATTCAAAAAAATTTACATGAAGAATTAGGAGTAAGAAAATTAGTTTCTCGTTGGATACCCCACCTGTTAACTGAAGAGCAGAAAATAGCGAGGGTTAATTGGTGTCAAAAAACGCTTGACCGTTTTAATTCCGGAAACTCAAAAAATGTGTACAGCATTGTTAGTGGTGATGAATCGTGGATTTACTGTTATGAACCAGAAAATAAACGACAGTCGGCTGTTTGGGTGTTCCAAGGTGAAGAAAAGCCAACAAAAGTCATCCGTTCTCGAAGTGGCTCATATTGCAACAATTCCTCTTAAAGAGCAAAGAACTGTTACTGCGGATTGGTATACCACCATTTGTTTGCCAAAAGTCATCACCGAGTTTCGAAAAATCAACCCCGAAAGAAGAATCATCCTCCACCAAGACAGTGCAAGCTCGCACACAGCACAAAAAACAAGGCAGTATTTAAAGGAAGAAAACGTGGAATTATTGGACCATCCCATATAGTCCCGATCTAAGACCTAACGATTTCTTTATTTTCCCGAAAATTAAAAACAGACTGCGTGGTCAAAGGTTCCAGTCAGCAGAAGAAGCAGTTGACGCATTCAAAAATGCCGTTTTTGATCTGCCAGCAAATGAGTGGAGTAAGTGCTTCGAAAATTGGTTCGAACGCATACAGATGTGTATTAATCTTCATGGAGAATACTTCGTAAAACAATAAAGTCATTTAAAAGTACCTTCCGTGTTGTTTTATTTCCATATGCAAAACTTAAAAGACATACCTCGTACATAAAAAACTGTTTAAAATCATAACGTCCAGGGCTCAATAGAATTAAATTACTATGTAAAAAATGTAAAATGTACGTTGTACGGAGGAATGGGCCACGGTGTGGCCAGAATAATAGTGTATCTTTAAAATCTGTACCTGTGGTTATTCCATGGATTTGAATGCTATCAAATCAAATATAATCCTTTTTTGTCCGAAACAGAAAAGAATATTGTCAAGAGAGCCTGTACTATGTCAATTAATGACACTCCATTAGATGTGGTGAAGGAAACTGAAAGCTCGAGTCTACAAGGAGGAGTTACATTTCTTCTCCTAAGTGAATAATGATAATGGAAAAAACATGGTAAATAATAGATGTGTGCAGTCATATAGGACTCCTATGGCTTGTTGGTCGCAGAATTATCACTGGTTTAACCTTTTATCCATTTTTACTAGTAGCAACCATTGTTAACTACAAGTAAATCCAGACTCTAACTATAATTTTTGGTGATTCTATTTAGTTGTCCCATTATTTTGTCAGCTAAAAAGCCTCAATTTTGCCGTGCGTTAAGGAAATTCTCAGAAATGCTATATATCAAAGTCGATTTAAATTAAATAATAATGATAAACGACTTTTATTTCGGGGCGAAGTTCAGCTACAAGCTATTCCATCACTTGACGGATGAAAACTACTTTAGAATCCGTTGGACAGTACGTCGACTAACACCAGACAGTCTCCAATTTGCGGGTACTTAAAGTAGGATCTACAAAAACTTGCCCTAAAACCCCCACTTCTATTGCTTCGTTCCTTATGGGATTTTCAACGTTGCGTTTTTTATTGGCGACTGACTGACCCAGTTAACAGAAATTTAGCTACAAGTTCTAGAACATATTTTCGATGCACGTTACTGTTCTCATGTCGCCCATATATATTTCTGCTGTTCTGATTATTTCCGAAAAATATTTCGATAATTTCAACTCTTTCTGCTGTGGAATATACCATGTTTAATTTATGTAATAAAGCGTTACAAGTTATTTGAGCAACAAAGTTTGGTCAAATCAATCGCAAACTATGTACTAAATTCCTATTTAAAATAAGTACGAGATCCTTATCTTTCTTCTAGAAATAACTTTTTTGACACAAAACAACAAAATGATACACAAACCAAGGGCGTAATGAAGAAAAGCTTATTAAGTAAATTCTTTTAGTTAAATTTCTTCTGAAAGTAGTACAAACTAATCTGATGTACCTATTAAAGTCTACTTTAAGCTTTAAATCAATAAATCTTCAAAACTACTGAACTGAAGATCATGTATTTTACATCATTATAAAGTAAATTGAAAGACCTTTAAAATAAGGTATCACTCGACCCCCTTTCCATTTAAGATTTTAGGGTTGGTGTCACTCCCGCCCAAGGGGTTGCACGTGTTAACGTGTTTTTCTGCCAAACCTGTATCTCCCTCGAAAACGAAATCGACGGGTCTGAGCGTTTTCCACAAAAAAATTGAGCTGCCGGTAAATGCGTCTGTTTCGTTTTCGATGCGCCACCATGTATATCAAAGTCGATTTAAATTAAATAATAATAATAAACGAGTTTTATTTCGGGGCGAAGTTCAGCTACAAGCTATTCCACCACTTAACCCTTGAAAATAACTTGCATTAGAATACTGAAAACAATTTTTACAAGATATTCTTCCAAAATTTAAACAAATATTACGCAGAGCATACAACGTACACATGAGTATATAAAAAAAACTATTAACGATTTATATGATATGCAGAAATATGGGGGTTTCAGATTTGGACATCAAAGATAATTTGTTTTATGTGCTTTTTGAAGTTACTGAAATCAAGATGTTTAGAAGTCGATTTTGATGCATTATATAGATTGGTCGTATTATAGGTAAAGCATTATAAAAATAGCATGTTAAATGAAACTTATACAACATTCAACCAGTTCAACTGTCCCAAACCTGAACTACTATGATTATATACTCTAAAGTCGAAAATCAATTTACAAAATAAATTTCGAATTTTTTGTGGACGTTTAGCTGAAACTGAATCTAGAAATGTATAGTAGGTATACCAAATCACAACAGTATCTGTAATATTTTTGATATTATTAAAGATTCAAATACAATTTTCTTGGATCAAAAATCAAGTAATTCTTCTTATTTAAGTACACATACCATAAAACAGTAATACAATTTTTAGTTAGACAAATAAATTTGGATTTTCATCTATAAACAAAGGTTTTAACTGATTCATCTATCTGAATAGTATGACCGTTTAAAGTATTGCTCAAATTATTATTTTTAGTAAGGGACCATAGATTTTTAGGAGAAAAATAATCTATGAATTTAGAAGGATCCAACCGGGGACTATGTTCTGTTGCATAATTTTCAATATAATTTAGGTCCTCTAGTATTTGTGCTTCCGAAATTGCTAAATTTTCATGATTGTAGCTGAATATTACAAAATTTCACAACCCTGTTGCTATATAAAAAAAAAAATAGGGAGAAGTGGACCAAGAATTGAGCCTTGAGGCACTCCTGAAGACATCAGACGGTCTGTAGACAATTCTGCATCAATGTCGACGTTTTGGGATATATTTATTTATCGGAAAGTTGCGCTATAAACTCAGTGAGGAATCATCGAAACCCTAATATACTAAGTGACATATAAATCCGAACACCCAGTTTAAATGGTTTTATTTTAATAAAATTTTGTATAAGTACTTAATGAAGCATAATAAGTAAATGATAAAAATCAAAATGATTGCACTGCTTTAAGGCCCTTTGACCTTTAATAATGTGTGGATGCACCCTGATGTGCTACGCATTCTCCAACGCGCCTAGGCATGCTTCTGATCAGGTGGTCAATGTCCTCCTGTGGTATCTCATTCCAGGCAACCACCAACTCCTCTCGAAGTGCTTCTAGAGTCTGAGGAGGACGTTGCAAATTGAGCAATCTCCTACCCATCATATCCCACACGTGCTCAATTGGGGATAAGTCGGGAGATCTTGGTGGCCATGGTAACAATGTGACATCATTATGTTGAAAGAAGTCTATTGTAACTCTTGCTCTTTGCGTACGGCCTTCTCGAAGCCATGCCTGACAATACCTAACCACAGTGTCTACACTTCTTTGCACTCTAACTGCAATTGCCCGAAAAGAAAGTCCAGCTTCCCGAAGTCCCACTATACGGCCCCTATCAAACTCACTAAGTTGACGAAATCGTACAGGTCTCCGTACTCTAGGCATCGTAACCGATCGTAAAGGATGTCAAGAACCAAAATCCGCCAACATTGATTCTTTACTGCAGCTGAAATATTCATTTTTAGAGCGTTAGTGATAAGGCTGAACATTTTTTCACTTGTTATTTACAGTAAGATAAATACATTCACCAACTTTTATTAAAATAAAACCATTTAAACTGGGTGTTCGGATTTATATGTCACTTAGTATACTTGCATTTAGCAATCAAAAGAAAGCGATCTATTGTATCGAATGACTTTGTGATTGCTTTTCCGGTAGAATCCCATGTTCAAAAATATAGTCATTTATTTGAATATACTCGTACATAAATGTGGCAATATATACTCAGGGACAGAAGGTAAAATAATTTCATCAACTTGATCATCATCATCAGGACGCGCAGCAGTCATATTGTCTTGAATAAAGAGAAGGGGTGATCGGGTACCATAGGCAAATTTTACCCTTCTACGGCCATCGTACGTACCAAGACAGAATCGCGATTCGTCGCTGAAGATGACATTATGCCATTCTGCCTCCCAATGTTGCCATTCCCAGTTTCAAACGTTTACGATAGCGGTCCGCAGTGAGAGGAAGCACTAACCGTGGACGGGATGAAAAAATTCCAAAGTCTCGAGTGCGGCGATAGACTGTACGCATACTAACAGTTCTACCTTCTTCTCCAAACCATTGGTATGCCAGGTGGACCAGTTGACCATCTTCGTGTTCCTCTACCTTCTTGTATCCATACACGACACACACGCATTACCGTTATTAAAGCACAACTAACACGGCGGCCAATTTCACGATAGGACAAATCTACAGCTCGATAGACAATAATTCTACCCCTATCAAAGTCGCTGACATGGTGATAATTTGGACGTCTTCGAACTCGAAGCCTTTTGTTATGCTTAACACTAGCAAACGAAAGGGCAATAACTAAAAATATCTGTACTACTCAGCTCTCAGAAACTGCTTTCTACACAGAAACTAAGCTAACACTTTAACAAAGGTAAACAAAAACAAAGAGAAAACATATAATCACTATGTTGTCAAAAAACAATATGAAGAAAGATTTTTTTCTGGGTGTAACACTTCTAATGTCACTGAGTATATGATAGTGGAAAAAATATATAAATCTATAATAATGACATACTTCTCCACCAATGCCTGCAATGTACTATTCTCGTGCTCAAAGGTCAAAGGCACTCACAAACCTGATAATATTTTTTTCTTATATCTGAGGCGTGATTGCATCATCGGCAAGTCCTATTTGCATTTTGATATGTAGAGACATTATGTATAATAAATGTATATTAGCACGAATGAGAGCGCGGGAGGCGTCCCCCAGCAACCAAACAAGTGAGCATCGCGACTATCGAGTCGCGTAACACCGGTGATTGCAGAAAAGGTGATATTAACAGTACCTGACATGGCTTTAGATTAATATCATCTATACGCCTTCTCCTCCGCTCCGGTCGATTGGTAGTACCGTTATAATATCTATAACACGGAGAAAAGTACTAGTCCAAGAGCACCATCATCTTGCATGCGGTTTCGAGTACTGTATCATTAGTAGCTACCGAACTACTTCTTAATTATGGTATAGACCTGAGTGTCGGTTGGTGAGTACGTGATGGATAGTGTTCAATGTTTCAAAATAGCAATTACGATTCTACCTTTTGCGTTCTAAATTGTCCTGTCTATATAGCGTCACCTTCCCAGCCAGCAAAATGCTTCGAGTTTTTGGTAAAAGAACTGTTAAGCCGCAAAGGCTTTTTTTGTTGTTGCCTGGACACCAAAATGCTGGCTTAATGTTGTGTAAAATGCAAGGGAAGTCAGTTTTTTAGCAAAGTTTGAAACTATGTCAGATTCTCAATGTTTGATCTTGGACATTTTTCAATACCTTTTTTGATCTTTGGACTTATCGGCTCTTTTCAAAAATGAATTTTTGATAGTCCCGAACGGTCATAAATATATAGCAGACCAGATCAGAGCAGTTGGTAGCAAGGCAACATATCATTAGTCTGTATAGATGACTATATACGAGGTTTATCAATTAATTGACGAGACTGGCAGCGTAGCGTTCGATCCGGACACACTGGAGGCGCCGGGCTTGAAGGGGAAACAGGG